ATTAATGGAACAGTTCTATCTCTGTACTGTACTCTAGAAAATTGAGTGAATTCTGTTTTAGACCTAGATTATTAGTACTGTGTGTGTGTGTGTGTGTATGAAGTATTGAACTTTATCAAATGCCTTTTCTCTGTGAAGTGAGTCATATTTTTCTACTTGGTTATGGCAAGTTGCACTGGTTTTCAGGTATTAAATAAACAGCATTTAGGAATGAATCAGATTTGGATGCAATTTATTATCTCTTGTATATCAGTTCCTAATGTTTTCTTTAGAATTTTTTGTGAGGGGAGTTGTTTTTGTTTGTTTGTTTGCTTGCTTGCTTGTTTTTGTTTTTGAGAAAGGGTCTTTCTATAGCTCCAGCTGGCCCAGAACTTGCTTACTTAGATTTGACAGAGATTCACCTGCCTCTGCCTCCAGAGTGGTGGGATTAAGGATGTGTGTCACCACACCAAGCTAGATTTTAGAATTTTGATATTCATAAAATGTCCAATTGAAGCATTTTAAGATAGGGGTCTAAGAAAAGTAGTAAATTATTTTTTCTTTATTAATAAGACTTAATAACATTTGTATGTCTTTATGTTTTTATTTATGTATTAAAGACCAGCCACTCAAATCCAAAATGGTCTCAGACAAAACTTTCATAACTATTTAGGAAAGTAACTGGCTGCCTTGTAGTTTTATAAGATTGATTAACTAAAGTCAAGTCAGTAGTTGGCTTTTAGATTCCTTCCTTTTCTTTCATTTTGTTTTTAAGAGCAAAAATTAAATATAGTTTGTAACATGTTCTCCATTGCTTAGGCCTAGTTGTTCATTTGGGGGTTTCATTTTGTTTTGAGATGGAGTCTTACTATGTTGCCCAACCTGGTTTCAGACCCCTGTATTCAAATGATCCTCCTATCTCAGCCTCCAGAGAAGCTGAGACTAGAGGTGGATGCCATCATGACTACCTTTAATTTTTTATTATCAAATACTTTTAATTTTTTAATGACAACAATAAATACAATTTCAGAAACCAAAGAGCACCAAGAACCAAAGATTTCAGAAAATCAGCACAAACAGTGGCAATCATCAAGAAGGTCAGAGTGTGTGAACCAGAATTCTGTTGCATTTTCAAATCAATGGCATATTCCAGATGTAACCCCAAAGGTTGATAAAGAGGTAACTCTATTCCTTTAAAATACATTACTATCATTTAACTTGGATGGGTATGTTAATTATTTTATTTCAAAGGTTTTTTTTTTTTGGTAACACTTTTGGTAGAACAATCTGTTTAAAAGATGTTACTTCTTCAGAATACAATCAGCAGTAGCACCTATTGGTTCTATAAGAGTGCATGTGAAAATAAATTCTGTTTCTGAGCCAAATAATAGAAATAGGTAACAATGATTGATTATAAGGATCCTGGTAGACAGAATACTGGCTCAATTTAAGAAAGCATTTCTTAACTTCTGAAATTTGTCAACCAATAGAGGCCTTCAGAATCCAAAGGGGCTGGGAGTATATAGTTGAGTATGCCCATGTAAAAACCAGGTGGAGCAGTGTTCATCTGAAACCCTAGCACAGGGAGCATGCAGAGTCAGGTGGATCCCGAGGGCTCTCTGGCTACTCAACCTAGCTGAAATGTCAAGCTCTAGGTTCAGTAAAGAGACCCTGACTCAGAAAACAAGGTGGAAGGGTAGAGAAATGGCTCAGTAGATAAAACACCTGCTATACAAGCATGGGGCCTAGAGTTCAAATCCCCTAAAGTCATGTAAAACATTGGATGGCATAGTGTCCTACCTATAGTCCCAGTGCTTGGAGGTGGAGACAGGATCCCTGGGCAAGCTGGCTAGCTAGGTTAGCATGAGTTCAGCAAGAGACCCTGCTCAGAAGTAAAGTGGAGGACAGTCAGTCTCTGGCCTTCACATTCACATGCTCCTGTGTGTACACAGTCACATGTGAACACACGTAGTCACACAGTACACATACACCTACAAAAAAAACAGGATAGAAACAATTGAGAAAACATCTACAATCACCTTTAGCGTCTACATATACCCACATAGGCAAGCACGCACACACACACTATTTCATGCCAGTAAAGATGGTTATAATAAAGAGATAGTAGCAAGTGTAGGTGAGTATCTGGAGAATTTTGAAACATATACTGTTGTTGGGAATGTAAAATAGTCTTTTTGAGGCGTGACCTCCCTATAGCCCAAATGGCCTAGAATTTGCTATGTAGACCAGGGTAGCCTTGAACTAACAGAGATCTGCCTGCCTCTGCCTCCCGAGTGCTGGGATTAAAGGCATGCACCACCATGCCCAATTCTACTTTCCATTTCTATGGAAATTGCAAAGTAGATTACTGGTTGACAGGTGTGGGTAATCATTTTGAAAAATAATCTAGCAGTTCCTGAAGAGGGTAAGCATCAAGATTTTATTTAAGCTGCTAATTCTACTCATAGTTGCTTTTGTTTTGTTTTGTTTTGAAATTTCTTTTTGATCTAATTATTTTTATTTTATGTGTATGAGTATATTGCCTGCATATATGTAAGTACACCTGGGTCATAGAATGCCTGCAGAGGATGGATCCCTTGGAAATGGAGTTAAAGATGGTTATTAGCCACCATGTGGGTGTTGGAATTTGAACCTGGGTCTTTTGCAAGAACAGCCAGTGTTCTTAACTGCTGAATGATCTCTCCAGCCCTTGTTTTGTTTATGTGTGTATGTGGGTGGGTATGTACATGTGCAGGAGGTGCTTGTGGAGGCCAGAGATGTTTAATCCTCCTGGAGCTGGAGTTACAGGCCACCGAGAGCTGCTGACATGGGTTCTAGAAACCGAACTTGGGTCCTCTACAAGAGCAGTACACACTCCTAAACACTGAGCCATCTCTCCAGCCCTGCTTCTAGGTTTATAGTCAAGAAAACTGAACACATATCCATACAAACATTTGGAGATGACTATTATTCATAGTAGAATTTTTATGATTGTTCCAAAGTGGAAATAACAAAAATATCTACTTATATATGTGTGTGTATATATATACATATGTGTATATATACATATATGTGTGTATATGTATATATGTGTATATATATATTTTTTAATGTGGTACATTCATATAAAGGATTATTCACTAATAAAGCAATGAAATTCTGGTACTTGCTACAACATAATATGAACCTTCAAAACATGGCTAAGTGTAAGAAACCCATCACAAAAAGACATCTGTTCTATGTTCTTACATGAGATGTTCAGAATAGGCCAAACCATAGAAATGGAAAGTAGAATTGGGTGCACACCTTTAATCCTAGCACTCAGGAGGCAGAGGCAGGCAGATCTCTGTGAGTTCAAGGCTAGCCTGGTCTACATAGCAAGTTCTAGGCCAGTTGGGGCTATAGGGAGACCCTGTTCAAAAAGACCAAAAAAGGAATTGCAAAGTAGATTAGTGGTTTATAGATGTGGGTACAGTGAGAAATGAAGTGTGACTTAAGGGTATGGGTTTCTTTTTAGGGGATGAAAATGTTCTAAAGTTGTGTAGTACAGACATGCTGAAAACTTGGAGAGCACACTTAGAAACAACAACACGCTGCCAGTTTCCTATGGTCCCTGCTTGCAGACCTGTCTTCTCAACGGGAGATTATTTTTGTCTCATATCTTTATGGTTATGTTTGTAACCATAAATTAAAAGTGCTGAGCACTGGCTCACACAAAGCCAGCAAGTTCCTGGTTTCTGCTGACTTCTACACCATACTGGGCATCACTAGTTTTGTAGCTGACCTTCAAATTCATAACTTCTCTGTGATGACCATTGCCTGCTTTACGTTAGCCACACACTTGTATCCTCAGTTCTTACCTCCAAAATACCAAATGCCAACACCCTGCCCTGTGATCACTATCTTTTCCATTTTCCTTGCTCAGTAGCCTACTGTGGCAGTTTCTGAACTGATGCACACACTCATCTATATGAGGAGGTCTTGATGAAAGGAAAAACTTGTCCAAGAAGGGAGATTTATTAGCCATTTTTAAAAGTTAAGAGGACTACAGGCAATATAAAGTAGAGTAGATTTATCCATTGTGATTCTTGAATATAATGAAGATTCATGGTCTGATGTTATAATAGAGAGATCAATGTAATCTAAGTAATTACAAATACTTTCTAATAACTAAATCTGTCTCCACATTGAAGTGCATCTCTATAGACTGTAGAGTACTTAGTTACCGAACAGTTTTTATCAGAATGTGGTTCTTTACTTGAGAAGATGCTGAAGGTCAGGAGTGGATGAACTTTCTAAACAAGAGTTAGGTTTTGTAGGCTAGATGGTGTCATAATTTTTCAGCTCTCATTAGGGCATGAAAACAGCTGTATATGTAAGCATAGGTAAAAGCATAGGTAAGGTTTTACTCCAGTGAAACTTTGTTTACAAAAATAGGTGGCAGTTCAGCTCAGCTTGGAGGCTCTAATTTGTTGATCTGTGCTGTAGTAGATGTTTATTCTTTGTTTGGGATTCATACAAGATGAATTCTGTAGTTTATATAGTGCTTATGAGAGAAAAGAGTCACTTGCCATTCTAATGTTTGCTAAATTAGTATTTGACTACATTTGCAGTGAGATGTAATTTCATTGATTAAAAACTTTTATGTGTGTGTGCATGCATGCATGCTAGAGATTGAACACAGGTCTTTACACATGCTAAGCATGTGCTCTGCCACTAAACTACATCCCTAGCCCCTGCTGTCTTTGATTATAAAAATTTAATGAATATTATAATAAATAGTTCTGATGCAAGGACGATGCTACATTCTGTTTCACTAAACAGCTTCGTGTGCCCTCCTGATAATTAGTCTAATTAAGCAGAATAAGTTAGGAAAAGTGGTTTAGAGTAAAAGAACTGTACTAAAATATTAGAAGTTGGACTGTGGAGATGCTTGCTCTTAAAGCATGAGGACTGAGTTTGATCATTAGCATCAATATAAAAAGTGGGGAGTGAGCTGGCTGTGGTACTGTACCCCTTTAGTCCCCAGCACTCAGGAGGCAGAGATAGAGGCAGGTAAATTATAATAATCTGGGTGTGGTAGCACATGTCTGTAATCCCAGCCCCAGAAATGGAGAAGGTGGGTCCCTGGGTATTGTTGGCCTGACAACCTAGCCTAGCCTGATCATCTGTGAGCTCCAGGTCCCTGTGAGAGAGCCTGTACAAAAAATAAGGTGGATGGTATCTGAGGAACAGTACCAGAAATTGACCTCTGACCTCTGCACACACATGTGCACAGGTACACGTACTACACCTGCACACACGTACATGAACACAAACCAAATAAGGTTTATTGAAAGTCTAAAATGCATATGCCACCTGTTTTAGTGTGCTTTTGCCTTTCATGTTTTTATTGCTTTGTTTTAAAGGTTATATTTTGTCTAATTAAAGGTGACTAATTTAAAAATTCTAAATCATGGTGTTTTGAATATTCTATTAGCAGAGATATACCACTGTTGAGCAGCTTGCCTTTTCAGTTTCAAAGCAGTCACCACCGATGTCGGTACCTAGATGGATGGATCCAAAATCTGTGTGTGAGACACCGAGTAGCAATACTTTGGATGATTACATGAGCTGGTAATTACCTTGGACACCTAGCTTGGAACTTGGGCGGGTAAAATAGAAATAAGAGGAGCTTTGGGACTAAATTGAATGGGGTTGAACCTGCTTTGTTATTTCAGAGACTTTGCAATTATTTTTCTCAGCATTAGTTTTATCACCTGTAAAATGCAAAGGAGAATATAGTTATGATTTTATAAATATATATAATCTTCACACACAGTAATTTTGGATTTTTTCCCCTTTTTTTTTTTTTTTTTTTTTGAGACAAGGTCTCTCTGTAGCTCCAGGTGGCCTGGAACTTGCTGTATAGACCAGGCTGGCCTTGAACTCACAGAGATCTGCCTGCCTCTGCCTCCAGAGTGCTGGGATTAAAGGACTGTGCCACCACCATAAGGAGTATTGTGAAAGTAGTCTTTGTCATATTATAATCTTTATTTCTAGTCTGGAAATCTAAAAATGCAATCTCTCTCTTTCAAGGTAGAGTCAGCAGTGCCTCTAATTGAGAAACACTTTAAGGGAAGCATTCTTAGAACAAGTAAAGAATGGATAGACATTTCAGTGCAGGAAGTGATCATTGGAACAGGATAGGTTTTGCAAGATGTCAGTTTTATAATTCACATAGTTTGTTAAGTATTCAAATATACCAGACTTCTGGGGACAGAGATATGGGATAAGTGAAGAAATTGAATGGTTAGTACTGATTAGCAGGAAACACGGAGGATGTTGCAAAAGGAAATGAGCAATATTTCAAACAGAAGAAATATCCTTCGAGTATTGGCTATATTTGTAATGTTTTAAGAGATAGTGTAACTCCTGTGGCTTGTTATTTTGATAATGTCATTTTTCATCTTAATTAGAACTGTCCCTTTTTGAACGAGAGCCCTCAATTTCAATACAATTTTATTATTGCCTCATTGTATTACAGGTAGAATATTCCAAAGAGTGATCGCTATCTTTGTTAAGATTAGATTATTTATGTGTGTATGTGTGCACAGGTGTGCATGCAGACCAGAGAAGGGTGCCACTCTCCACCTGATTCCCTTGAGACACTGTCACTGAACCTGGAACTAGGCTGGCAGCTAGCAAGCCCAGCAATACTTGTGTCTCTGATCCCTACAACTCTGGGGTTGCAGGCATGCATGTAGCCATGCCCATCTTTTTCTGTGGGTGCTGAGGATTCTGAGTCTTCATGCTTATATAGCAAGTGCTCTTACCCACTGAGTTGTCTTTCCAGCTCCAAATTGTTTAGTTAATATTTTTAGAGTTCCTTTATGCCAACTACTGTTACAGGTGTTGAGGACATAGTGACAAACAAGGGAAACAAATGTGAAGTGAACCGACACAAGCTAGAAGGCCAGACTCCTTTGATGACATAACTGGCTTTCAGATATTTCTAGCAGACTATCAGAGAACATAATTGTTTCAAAAGTCCTAAAATTAGCCAGGTGTGGTGGCAAGCACCTTTAATCCCAGTACTCCCCATCCAGAAGGTAGATATCTGTGAGATTGAGGCCAGCCTGGACTGCTTAGAGAGTTCCAGGCCCACTGGGGCTACAGGGAAACCTTGTCTTAAAAAAAAGTCATAAAATTTATGATCAGTTATAAGCTGACTTTTGTCTTGGTAAAACTTATATAAAATTATCCTAACTCCATATTTTGAATTCTGTTTTGTTTATTTTATTCAAATATTTCATATCTGGGAACAAACATTGATTTCAGAACAATTTCCTCCAAATTAACTGCCTGGTGGTGTAACTATTATTGGCTCTGTTATGAAAAGTAACCTCAGTTCTAGTTAACGTGGCAATGTTAGGGTTATGTGAACCTTTTAGAAAGCATGCCAAATTACTTAGAATTTTGCTTTTAAATCTTTGTTTTATATTAAAGAGAACAAAATCTTTCCTAGTTTTAAAACTCCAGTTGTAAAGAATGACTTTCCGCCTGCCTGCCCATCATCAACACCTTACAGCCAGCTTGGCCGTCTCCAGCAGCAGCAAGCACTCAGCACCCCTCTTCAGCACTTGCAGGTTTGCAGCTTTGTTATGATGGCGCATGTTAAATCAGTTTTATAGATTCTACTTTCAGAGTCTAGTTGTCAGGAAAGGTCTTAAGAACCTGTCCATTCTTAGGCAAAAGTCTTTTGACATCTTGATAAAGGTGTATTCCCCAACTTTGAGAGATTATTCTTTAAAGCAGCTAATGAACTTATCATTAACTAGTCCAAAGAATCCAGTTTGAATAGTAAAGTAAAACTTAACCTTGCAATTGAGGTTACTTTCATTTGTTACATTTCATTTGTTAATACATGATTCATTTGAAAAACTGATTCTTCAGGATAATCAGATAGCAATATGATAATCAGAATATAATTATCATAAACCAACAAAAGATTTGCTAACAGTTGTATTGACATTTGACAAAAAATTAGACACTCTCATTGCCAGTAACTAAAATTAGTGTGCAGTAACCCCAAGAGGCTGCCTAAGAGCTATGTGAACACAGTCCTTGTAGACAGATGATGGGGGCACGAATCCTGCCTCACTGGTCACCAGCTGTGTGATCTTTGGCAAGTTACCTGAGATCTTTATGCCCATTTCATCATGTAGAAAATAGGGAAATAAAACTACGTACTTCACAGAATGTGCAGGTTACATTAGTATATGTGTGACTCTTAAAACACCCATAGTCGCTTATTAAAACCAGTTGATTTGAAAAGATGACAGAAAGTAGAAGAGTAGTTACCAGAGCTGGGTGGGGCCAAGGGAGTTAGTTATTGCTTAATGGGAATAGAGCAATAATTTAGTTTTTGATGACCAAATTTTGGAGATGGACAGTGGTGATGTTTGTACAATGACCAGTATACTTAATACCACTGAATTGTGCTTAAAAAGGGTTAAAATGGCAAAGTTTGGGCTATGTATATTTTGCCACAATTTAAAACAAAAGTAGATAAAAGTTTACCTGACAATAGATCATATAATATTAGCTATGGAAAGAGTTGATAGTGTTTTCAGGACTGAAATTATATAGTAAGTTAGAGTAAAGGGAGGAAGAGGTTTGCATTGATTCAGAACATGTTCATTGACCAGTTAATAAGTCCTGTTTTGATTAAAATCTAGATGGCAATTCAGAAGTGACTCAAAGTAGGATTTGAGGATTGTTACAAAGGAGGCCACTGTCAGGAAGGACCTTAAAGGGGAGCAGAGTGTGGCCTAGAGGTCAGGGTCGGAAGGCATGAGTCCCAAGGCTTTGCTAGGCTTTTCATAGTTTTAATGTAATAGGGCCAGGAAGCTGTGGAGGAGGTTGAAGCAGGGAGTAAAATGACCTGATAGTGGTTTGAAACTCTGATGACTGTGTAGTAGATAGGGATGAGACTTGTGGTATTGAATTAAGAGTAAGTTGGAGTTACTGTATTCTAAAAACTGTCCACAGCCCAGGGAAAAGAAGGCCAGACTGATTATTCCGTAAGAAATGCTCACAGTTTAAGTAAGGAAGTGCAAAGAGAACACACAGGAAACGTCTCTGACTCAATACCAGAGTTGCTCAGTACCAGAGATTAAAAAAGTTAGAATCTTTATCTATTCCTGTAGAAGCAGATTATGTGAAAGATAGTCTAGCATTTTTTTGATCTAAAACGTGACTCAGTTAAACTGAAGTTTATTCAGACCTTGGTTGTTTTGGTTTATTGGATAAAAGCTCTGTTGCAGCCAGGTGTGGTGGCACACATCATTAATCCCAGGACTCAGGAGGCAGAGGCTGGTGGATCGTGGCCAGCCAGGGATGGTCTACATTGTAAGTTCTAGGCCAGCTGGGACTACATAGTGAGACTGTGTCTCAAACAAAACTTAGTTTCAGCTTTATCAGCTCAGAGTAAGACGTCTCAGCATTTATAAGACAGGTAGAGGTCACCTAGTTATAAGGGAAGGCAAGAAAGGGCCGCTGATGTGCATCAGTTGGTGGATTGCCTGGAAAGATGCCGAAGTTCAGAGAAATGCCGTAACTTGTTGAACTGTACTCAGGACAAAGGAGGAGGCCAGGCATTGTCTAATAACAGGAGTTCTCTGTACACATTGTGTCTTTTACCATGTTAAACGAGAAAAAGAACATAGAAATGACTATGTCTGTGTACAGGTTCAGAAAGGAAATCCGTAGTTTATGTTTGTACATTGAGTGTCAAGAAGTATTCTGGAAATCTACTTGTGTTAAGTAAAGAAATCAGTTAAATGGGGAGACCTTCAAAGTTTGTCTCTGTATTAATTAAACTTGTGTATTTCTTTTATTGCTTTTATGTTTCTGTTCTTTTGGGGACAATCTTGCTGTGTGCCTCAGGCTGCTTTTGAACTTTTATTAAAGTGTACAAAGCAAGTTCCCCTTTAAAAATATTGTAGTTCATTGCTTAAGATTTTTCATAATTTCAAACTGGGAGCATTTTACTATATATCTCTGATGTAAGCTAGTTTCTTGGGCATGTTCTTTGAACTTAACATTTACATATTTTAAATCACTTAGATTTCAGGATTCTCTTCAACAAATGACTGCATTTCAGTTAAAGGAAAAATGTATTCCATATTAAAGCAGATAGGCAGTGGAGGTTCAAGCAAGGTAAGTAGGTTAAATTTTTAAGAAACAAATAAAAATATTGCCTTTTTACATATGGGAGCTCTTTCACCTCCTAGAGGCCCATGTTGTCCCTGAGCCAGAAAAGCTGCCTCTTTTCCTGCCCATTCTCCTTCCCTAAAATGACTTCCCCACCTTAGACCCACAGCCTTTCCTTCCAGTGTCCTGTGCTTTCCAGTTTCATCTGTGTAACATTAACATTGGTTTGCAGTGGCAAGTTACCACTGCGTCATCACAGAAAGCTTGGAAGGCTGAATGAGAATGTGACAAGACCCACTGGTGTGCTTCAAATCAGTCAGCAAGAAGACCCACTGGTGTGCTTCAAATCAGTCAGCAAGAATTTGGAGTTTGTTTTGGTTATTTCCTAAATTTGTCTGAGTTTTAAATTTTTAAATATATTTTTATTTTTTAAATTAGCATGCAAGGTATTAGATACCATTATGGCAATTTCAAGCAATGTGTAAATAGATTCTTTCCCTCATCTGCACCTCCCTCTCCTTTCCCTGACCCTCTCTAACCTCCCCACTGGCTTCCTTCCCACTCTCGTCTCGCGTGTCCTCCCTGCTTCCTTGTCACCTGTTTTTATACTTTCTTGGTCTCCTTTCTGGTTTTTTAGGTTTTACTCACGTTTACAGCCATTTATACATACAAACGTACACACTGAAAGCTGGAACCCACCTGTGAGGAAAAACGTGGGTTTGCCCTCTGAGTTTGAGTCACTTGCTTAATATACATTACAGCTCCATCCATTTTCCTGCAAATTTCACAATTTCATTTCTCTGCACAGCTCAATCAAGTTCCATTGTGTATATGAATATTTTCATTATCTGTTGGTGGACACCTAATCTATGTCCATTTTCTTGCTGCTATGAATAGAGCAGCAATAAGCTTGGATGTACAAGTATCTGTAGGATATGGTAGGATATGGAGACCTTTACAGGTATGTGCAGGGAGTGGCATAGCTGGGTCATATGGTAGTTCTGTTTTTGACTTTTTGAGAAAGTTCCATAGTGACTTGTACCAGTTTGCACCAGCAGTGAATAAGAGCTCTTCTTTCCCCATATCCTCACCAACATTTGTTGTTGGATTTCTTCAATGATAGCTATTCTGACTGGAATGAGGTAATATCTAAATGTAGTTATAATGTAAGTTTCCTTGGTGTCGAGGGATATTGAACACTTAGAAATGTTTATTGGCCATCTATTGACCATCTGTGTTTCTTTGAGAACTGTGTCCGTTTCATCAGCACAATTGTTAATTAGCACTTTGGGTTTGGTTGTTTTTTTTTAATTTTGCAGTCTTTATAAAAATTCTGGATATTGGTCCCCTGTCTGAAGTATGGCTGGATGAGATTCCTCTTCCATTCTGTAGACTGTTTGTTGCTGTGCTGGTAGTTTCTTTTGCTGTGTAAGAACTTTTTAATTTAATGTAGTCCCATTTGTTGATTCTTGGGGGTATTTCCTGTGCTATTGGCTCAGAAAATTCTTGACTATACCTATGTCTTGAAAAATAGTCCCTGTGTTTTCCTCTAGCAGTTTCAGTGTTTTAAGTTTTAAATTAAGGTCTGTGATCCACTTTCTATTGACTTTTATACAGAGTGAAAGATACAGATAATTTCGTTTTTCTGCAGTTTTGCCAGCATAATTTGTTGAAACAGGTGACTCCCCTGACCCCCCACTGCATGTTTCTGATCTCTTTGTCAAGAATTAGGTAGCCATAGTTTGTTGGTTTATTTATGGGTCCTATAAGATTTTTTTTAAGAGTCTATAGGGTCTTTTAAGTATAGAATCATGTCATTTAAATAGGATAAACTTCTTCCTTTATTGTATTTGTCCTGTTCATCTTTTCTGCTATAGCTAAGACTTCAAACACTGTGTTGAGTATGAGGCTAGAGTGGGCATCCTTATCTTGGTCCTGATTTTAGAGGAAATACTCTCAGTCTTTCCCCGTTTAGTATAATGTTGGCAATAGGTTTGTATGTGACCTTTACTGTTTTGAGGTGTGCCCTATCTCTAAATTTCTCTAGGACTTTTATCATAAAGGCATGCTGTCAAATGCCCTTTCTATATCTATTGAAATGATCATGTAACTTCTGTCCTTTATTTATAGGATGTATTGCATTTATTGGTATACATGTTGGACCTGCTTTGCCTCTCCAAGATGAAGCCCTTTTGGTCATAATGCATGATCTTCTTAATATGTTTTGAATTCAGTTTACAAGTATACTCTTGAGAATTTTTATCAAGGAAATTGATCTATAATTTTCTTTGTTGTTGCATCTTTATCTGGATTTATTATCAGGATACCACTGGCTTCTTCCTTTAAAAACTGATAGAATTCAGCAGTGAATACATTTAGTCCTGGGCTTTTCTTTGTGGGATAATTTTAGGTTACAACTTCAGTGTCATTGTTTATCATGGATCTATTTAAGTTACTCATACTTTCTGGCTTTAATTTTGGTAGGTCATCTGCTTTTAGATATTTGTCCATTTCTTCTATTTTTCTAAAGTTTCTAATTTTGTTAATTTAAGCCTTTTTGTCAGTTTGATTAATGGATTGTCAATCATACTATCTTTTTCAATGAGCCAATTCTCTGCCTTATGGATTCTGTGTACTGTTCTTTTAGTCTTTAGTTCAGTAATTTCTTCCCTCATCATTTTTATCTCTTGTTATCTGTTGGGTTTGGGATTCTCTTCCTCTTCCTCTAGAGCTTTGAGGTACATCATTAGGTTGTTTGAGATCTAATTCTTTTTAAAAATATTTTATTTATTGTTTTTATTTTATGAGTATGAGTGTTTTGCCTGCATGTATGTAAGTGCACTCATGTTGTGCAGTGCCCATGGAAGTCAGAAGAGGGCATCAGATTCCCTGGAACTGGAGTTACATATGGTTATTTGCTACCATGTGGGTACTAGGAATTGAACCTGGGTCCTCTGCAAGAGCAGTCACTGCTCTTAACCACTGAGCCATCGTTCCAGCCCTGAGATCTAATTTTTTTTTTTTTTTTTTTGTCTTTTTGAGACAGGGTCTCCCTGTAGCCCCAGCTGGCCTGGAACTCACTATGTAGACCAGGCTGGCCTTGAACTCACAGAGATCCGCCTGCCTCTGCCTCCTGAGTGCTGGGATTAAAGGCGTGTGCCACCACGCCCAGTGAGATCTAATTTTTTAATGTGAGCATTTATGCTGTAAATTTTCTCTTAGGACTGCCTTGCCTGTATTGCTTGAGTTCTGGTATCTTGTATTCTCATTTTCATTTCATTCTAGGAACTTTTCTTGTTTCCTCTCTGATTTCTTCAAAGACCCACTATTCATTTAGGAATGTATTATTTAGTCTCCAAGTATTTTTGTGGTTTCTGTAGTTTCTCTTGCTGTTGATTTCTACTTTTATTCCACTGTGGTCTGTTAGGATATGAGGAATTACCCCTGTTTTAACAAAGAAACAAAATTTTAAAGTTTGCTTTGTGGTCTTATGATGTGACTGATTTTGGAATTACATGTGCTAAGAAGAATATGATTCCCTAATTGTTGAGTGGAATATTCTGTATAGTACAGTTGGTCTGTGGGCTAATTTAGTTCAGAAGTTTCTTTGCTTATTAATTTGGAACACCTACCTAAATATGAGAGTGAAGTGTCAAAGCCACACCATTATTCCATTATTGTGTCAGGACCTATGTGGCCTTTTATGTCTTTTAGTGTTTGTTTTACAAAATTGGGGGCTCCAATATTTGGCACGTAAATGTTTATAATTGTTTATTTCTTTGGATTATTTCCTTTATTAATAAGTAGTACCTCTCTTTATCTTTTCTGATTAGTTTTAGTTTGCAGTCTACTTGATCAGATACAAGAATAGATATGCCTGCTTATTTATACCTCTTTGCTTGGTAGTTTGATTTCTATCCTTTGATACTCAGTTTCTGATAGTTTGCTAGCTAAGTGTGTTTCTTGGTGACAACAATTAGCTGATTCTTAATCCAGTCAGTCTGTGTTTTTTTAAAGAAATATTTTATTTATTTTGAGTATATGAGTGTTTTGCCTACATGTATGTTGTAAGTGCACCATATGTAGGCCAGAAGAGAGTGTTGAATCCCCTGGAACTGGAATCACAGACCATTGTTAGCCGCATGTGGGTTCTAGGAACTAAATCCAGATCCTATGGAAGAGCAGTCAGTGCTCTTAACTGCTGAGCCATCTGTGTAGCCCCCATCAGTATCTTTTATTGATGAGTTGAGGCTATTTAAATTTAAGGTTGTTAACAAAAGGGGCTTGTTATTTCCTAAGAATTTGTTAGGTGATACTCTGGCTGGCTGGATTGTTATCTCTTTGTCTTCTCTCTTCCATTAGTTTTGGGAGTTTGCTAGTTTGCTATATTGGACATGAGTCTACCTTTCATGTGTTCTGATGGAGAAGGCTTTCTTCTTCCCTCCTATATAGTATCCCTTTAGAATTTTTCTGCAGAACTAGCTTGGTTTTTGTGACTATCATTGATTGGTGTTTGTCTTAAAATATTTTTAATTTCCTCCATCAATTTTGAGAGATAACTTTGCTAGAGATAACATTCTAGAATCAGTTATTTACCTTCTCAGCTTGAAGTATCATTACAAGTTTTTCTGGCTTTTAGGGCTGCTGCTGAAAGTCTAAGGTTATTCTGGTACTTCTGCTTCTGTGTATGAGATGGTGTCTTTTCTGTGCTCTGTTAGCATTGTTTCATTACTGTGTTGTTGACGTCTTTATGGTGATGTGGAGAGTTCTTCTCTGGTCATGTCTGTGGGGTTCTAACTGCCTCTTCTTTTTGAATGTCTACTTTCTCCAAGTTTGGGAAGCTCTCTGCTATGATTAATTATTTTAATTGTTATCTATAACCTTTTTCTTTTCCTCTTTATTGCGGCTCTTGTAGAAATCCTGTGAATCCTCAGGTTTGGCCTCTTGAATGTATCCCAGGCTTTCTGGAAGTATTACCAGAGTTCATCATATTTTCTCCTTATGTATGAGTGTATTACTGTTGCTGCTTTCTCCTATCTCTAAAACTGATTCTGCCTGGACTTGTCTAGTGGCGATGTTTTCTAATGTGGATTTATGTATGTATGTATGTATGTATGTATGTATGTATGTATTTAAGACAAGACCTCACTCTGTAGCCCTAGCTGGCCTGGAACTTCCTGTCTAGACCAGGCTACCGTCAAACTCAGAGAACCACCTGTCTCTGCAGGGACTAAAGGTGTGCACCACCACTCCTGGCTCTAAATATTTTATTTATTATTTTTATTTTCTGTGTATGCGCATATTGCCTGCATGTAGGTAAGTACACCCATGTCGTGCAATGCCCACAGAAGACAGAAGAGGCTGTTGGATCCCCTGGGACTGGAGTTACGGACAGTTGTTAGCTGCCATGTGGGTACTGGGATTCGAACCCTAGTCTTCTGCAAGAACAGTCAGTGTTCTTCACTGCTGAGCCATCTCTCCAGCCCCTCACTCCTGGCTCTAATGTAGTTTTTATTTAATTGACCATTTCTTTCTTGCCCAGTGTTTCTGTTTGGTTGTTTTCAGTGTTTCAGTTTCCGTGTTGAATTTTTCCTCCAATTTTGTTCATGTTGGAGACTGTCTGATTGAAATCTTTGTGGTGGTTTGAATGAGAATGTCCTCCATAGGCTCCAAGTATTTGAGCATTTTGTCCCCAATTGGTGCTGCTGTTTTGGAAGGTCTTAGAAGGGATGGCCATGCTGGAGGAAGCATGTCACTGGGGATGGGCTTAGAGACTTCTTAAGCCTTGCCAGATTTCCAGTTGCTTTGCTTCCTGTGCCTGCTTGAAGATGTGCTTGTTTAGCTTCTGTTCCTCCTCCAGCCACCTCTGCTGCCATGCCTCCCCACCATGATGGACTCTTACCCCTTTAGAACCATAAGCTAAATAAACTCTTCCTTTTGTAAGTTCCTTTGGTCGTGGTGTTTCTATCACAGCAACAGAAAAGTAACTAATACAGTCCTGGATAGATTTCTTTAGATTGTACATCTGATTGTTTTTGGATCTTCTATATGGTCATTAATTCCTTTAAAAAACAAGACTCAACTTTTTCTCAAATGTTTCTTCTATGTCAGTGATTTTAGTTTCTTTTGGGACTGGTTGGAGCCCAAACCTCCTGTCCTACACTTGCCTCTGGAACTACTGTTGTTCTAGAGCTTAAATTGAATTGTTCTTGACCTGGCTCTAGCTGTCTGGATGCACTGTAAGCACTGTCTTTATATACCATAGCAATTCTGGCTCACTGAAGTCAGTTCTTCCTGGGTCATGTCAAGATCATCCACAGATTTCAGATTTTTGTTAAGTCTGGTTCTGAGCTTTTATTTTTAGGTTCTTTGATGTTCGGGACAGTTCTTTAATTGTTTTCCTTTTTCTCACAGAACCTCTCCCCGACACCCCCCTGCAAAAACAATATTCATACACTTCATTGTCCTGCACTGACCACTCCTTTTCAGAAAAGTCTTCTATGTCCCTGAACTTTGGGTGTAATGCCTCAGGACTCAGCCTTTGATGTCTTTGCTTCTCCCTCTAAATTCACTTGTTTCTTTGGTGTTCCTCCAGTGCTATGAGGTGGTGGTGGTTTGAATGAGAATGTCCCCATAGGCTCCAAGTATTTGGATATTTGTCCCAGTTGATGGCACTGTTCTGGGAGGTTTTCGAAGGTGTGGCCATACTGGAGGAAGCACATCACTGGGGGCAGACTTAGTTCTTAAGCCTTGCCAGATCTTGAGTCACTTTCTTGCTTCCTGTGCCTGCTTGAAGATGTGAGAGCTTAGCTTCCACTCCCCCTCCAGCCACGTCTGCCACCATGCCTCCCTGCTTTGATGAACTTGTTCCCCTTAGGAACTGTAAGCTAAATAAACTCTTCCTTTTATAAGTTCCCTTGGTTCTGGTGTTTTTATCACGGCAGCAGAAAAGTGACTAATACAGAGGTTAAATACTGTGTCTGTGCTTATAGTTTTCAAACATACATTTCTAGATCAGTACTCTTACTATATGTAAGTTGACGGCTTAGCATCTTCTTGGTTAGCAGGGATTTAAGATGGTATGTCCAAACATTTTTTCTGTAGTCTTTCCACTTGTAGGCAGTAGCAACTACATTCTTCTCATTGCTTGGCCAAAAACCAGTTAACTGTTCTCATTCTCAAATGCACATCTTATTCTGTCTTCCTCTTAAATATCTTCAGCGTCTGTATTTTTAAGTGAACACCATCATGTTGGTTGAAGCAGCTATTTTTGTTTACTTGGCTTATTGAAGTGACCTCCTAGTGAGCCTCACTCAGTCCTTTTTCTTCTGGTCTGGCCTATATCTTCTCTCTCCTCTCTCTTCACAGAGATACGCATGCTCCTGCCTCAAAGTTTTGGGGTTAAAGGTGTATCACCATACCCAACCTCTTTGTTTCTTAGAGTCTTGCTATGTAACCCAGCTGGCCTTGCACTTGCAGCAATCCTCCTGCCTCAGCCTCTCAAGTACAGTGATTACAGGAGTGTATCCGCAGCCTAGCTGTGACCTGCGTCTGTCTTAACACAACAGTGACTGTCCCTCTAGACTTCCTCATGTTTTTGCTCATTTCTTCTCAGCTAAGCTCTGGTAAGTTGGTATTGAATTTTTTTTAATTCTAAGTAAATTTTATTGTTTTTTAAAAAAATTATGTTTTTTATATGTATGAGTGTTTTGCTTGCATGTATGTAAATGTACCACATGTGTGCAGTTCCTATGGAGATCAGAAGAGGGCATCAGATACCCTGGAACTGGAGTTAACAGATGGTTAGCTATTGTGTGCGTACTGGAAATGACTAAGCTAGGGCTGGAGAGATGGTTCAGCCATTAAGAGCACTGGCTGCTCTTGCAGGGGACCTGGGTTCAATTACCAGCACCCACATGGTGGTGAACAACTGTCCGGAACTCCAATTCTAAGGGATCTGATGCCATCTTCTGACCTTTGTGGGCATTGCATAACATGGATACACTTACATACATGTGGGCAAAGCACTCATACACATAAAATAAAAATAATAAACCATTTTTTCTTTTTTGTCTTTTTGAGACAGGGTCTCCTTGTAGTCCCAGCTGCCCTGGAACTCAGTATGTAGACCAGGCCGGCCTCGAACTCACAAAGATCCGCCTGCCTCTGCCTCCCAAGTGCTGGGATTAAAGGTGTGCACCACCATGCCCAGCAATAAAATATTTTTAAAAGGACTAAGCTATATAATGACCTGATACTTTTATTTGTATAGTTTTAGCCCATGAGCTCATCTACGTTTGGACTCTTATTCCACTCCATTACCTACGGAGTAGTCACAGTTAAGTGGCACGCTCCGGTGTTTGAAACGGTACAGATAAATGTATATGTTTACACACACTGGTGTGTTTTATTGAGTTACTGATGTAGAGGCGCCAGTGCTATGGCATGTTTTGCTAAAAGATTCAGCCTGTTTGCTTCTCTTTGTGTCATCTATTGGTATTACTAAGAAATAGACTTAGAAAAACATATTGTTCCTGCCAGTGTAGCTGAAAGGTTGACCTACTCTGCTTTCCACAAGTGGGTGTGCTGATGGCTTACAGTTAGTGTAGTTTTAAAAACACCTGCTGCCACAGAAATGAACTTGTCAGTACTAGACATGGTGGGAAAAAACACTACCTAAAAAGCAAATTGTCTGTCTGTCACTGCCTTAACTAGCCTTAGCATTTCCGAATGTCTTTTTCTCTGTCTTAATTTCCTGGAATAAGGCATCCAGAGAGTTCTGTGAATGTATCAGATGTAAGTTGTTTTTGTTATGTGTCGATATAGAAAACATTGAGGGTTGTGCCTTTGAGTTAATTGAATGTCCACTGTCACAGAGGCTGGAAATGGGCTGTTGCTCTGCACCATGATATTTTTTTTTTCCTTCTACATTCAAAATAGGCCCAGATGCTTTCAATTTTTCATATCAGTATTTCAGAGTTTTCTCAGCTTAAAATTCTGTTTGTCTAATAAACAGCATTGTGATAGTGTACAATAGTGTGTTCTAAACTTTCCTCTGTTTTCTGCGTAGGTATTTCAGGTACTGAATGAAAAGAAACAGATCTTTGCTGTAAAATACGTGACCCTAGAAGAAGCCGATAGCCAGACGGTTGACAGCTACCGGAATGAGATTGCGTACCTGAACAAGCTGCAACAGCACAGTGATAAGATCGTCCGGCTTTATGACTAGTAGGAGCTCACTTTATTTTCAGAAGAAAATTTATTTTGTTTTGTCAAATTTTTAGGTAAATGATAAATCTTTATTGATACAATGTAGCCATATATTATTTTGTTGCTGGTGTTCATTTTAATCACAGTGAAATCACAGATCGTTACATATACATGGTGATGGAGTGTGGAAACATTGACCTGAATAGTTGGCTTAAGAAGAAAAAATCCATCAATCCATGGGAACGCAAGAGCTACTGGAAAAATATGTTGGAGGCGGTACACACAATCCATGAGCATGGTATTTTAAAATCTCTTGATATATGTAGTTGAAATATTTGAATTGTGTCATCTTAGAGAACTATCCCTATGATTTTACTGGTACCTACCTTTAATTAACTGGAAATTCATTTACAATAAACAAACCCATTTCTTAGGCCGGGCGCGGTGGCGCACGCCTTTAGTCCCAGCACTCCTACTCTGAAAGCAGAGGCAGGCAGATCTCTGTGAGTTCAAGGCTAGCCTGATCTACATAGTAAGTTCCAGGCCAGCTGGGGCTACAGGGAGACGCTGTCTCCAAAAGACCAAAAAATAAAAAATAAAAAGAAACAAACCCACTTCTTAAAACTAGCTACACAAAGGATACAGACTACAACGGTTAAATTCTTAACCTTCATACGTGAAGTCTGTCCTCCTCGGTGGTCCTTAACTGTCAAGTCTTTGAACTGCAGTAGCTCCTTGATGTCAGGATTCGGCAACCTAACAATAGGAGATGCTCAGTTCTCTCAATCTGCAAATAATTTTGCATTTTGTGCTTTAAGATTTGGCTTTATTTTTTCACTGTTAGCTTCTGGGTTTTACTTGTTCTTGGTTATTGTTAGAGCTTTTCTCTGCCTTAGCTTTACCTTTAAAGCAAACAACAGAAACAAACCTGCTAAACCTAGATGAATAATTTTGTTTCCTCTGCTTGTCTCTGTTCAGTTTAAAAGTACTTGTTGATGGCTAAGGTCAGGACCTCTGAGTGGTATGGGAGACACTGTGTGATTTGTACTGCTTTCCTGGGCAGTGCTGAGGGCTTTGGAACACGGAGACCAAGTGCCTAGCTTCTGTACCCTGTTGTCACTTAGAGTAAGGTCCTGCAACCTTGAGCAGGTTACTTAAACTCTCGTGCTAGTGTCCTCACCCTTAAAATGGGGTGACATTGGTACTACTCAGCATTGCTGGGACTAAATTATTCATTTTAAGAAACAAACTTGGAGGGAATGCCTGGCACATAGCACTTGTTAAGAAGATGTAGAGCATGTAATAAGTGAATCTTAATATAAATAATAATAATATTAATTGGGATAATTGAGGGAATCAGCTGGACCAGAGATTGTGAATTTTTGGTCCATGGAATGCTTTACCTTGTCTTAACATGGTGGATTTTACTTTGAAGGCATTGTTCACAGTGATCTGAAGCCTGCTAACTTTTTAATAGTTGATGGAATGCTAAAACTGATTGATTTCGGGATTGCAAACCAAATGCAACCAGACACAACAAGCATTGTTAAAGATTCTCAGGTAGGACTTTTGCTTTATTTTCATTTTGTTTTAGTTTTGGGGGGCAGGGTCTCATGTAACCTAGAATGGTGTTGACTTAGCTATGTAGCAAAGGCTAGCCTTCAACTCCTGAACTTTCTGCCTCAACCGCCCAAGTGCTGGGATTAAAGGTGTATGCCACCACGCCTGGCTTCAGGGCGGACTTTTAATGGTGGCTGTTTACCTCATAGTTTCATTCCTTTTCATCTGTTAAGTATTTTGCCAGAATTTTTTTTTTTTCTCTTTCCTACCTCATTCATCAAGGATTTGAAGTCTTTAAAAGAATAGATACGAGGACCTGGAGAGATGGCTCAGTGATTAAGAGCACTGGCGGCTCTTGCAAAGGACCCAGGTTCAGTTTTCAGCACAAACATCGTGACTATAACCATCCATAACTCCAGTTCCAGGGATCCAACACCCTCTTTTGACCTCTATGGCGATTGCACTACATGGGTGCAGTTACATACATGCAGGCAATATACTCTTCCACATCACATAAAATATTTTTGAAAAAGACTAGATACCATAATTATTTTTTTTAAACCACGGTCAATTTGATTTAGAAAAGAAAGTCCAGATCAAATAACACTATATCCAGCAGTTCTGGATGATTCTCTTGTAGTGAGATTGACAAGCAGTAACACCTGCCTCGAAATCATCTGCTCATAACCTCATTGACCTGAAGGTTTGATTCAGAATTTCCTGGTGGCAGCTGAAGAGTAATCGTAGCTGATTCTGTTGTCTTTGAGGTTAAATGGCTTTCAAAAAAGTAAGGTTTTTCCTGTCACTTAAATTGAAGGGAAAAACAGCCAGGTATGGTGGCACATGCCTTTAGTCCCAGCACTTGGGAGGCAGAGACAGGTGGATCTCTGTGAGTTCAAGGCTAGCCTGGTCTACATAGTGAGTTCCAGGACAGCTGGGGCTACAGGGAGACCCTGTCTCAAAAAAAACAGGGAAAAAAAAAAAATGAAGGAAAAAAAAATTGAATAGAGCCTTGTTGGAATGGCTGTAATATTCAACTACTCAGTTGCACTATTAAAAAATTGTTTTATTTTAGAGAGAGAGAGAGAGAGTGTGTGTGTGTGTGTGTGTGTGTGTGTGTGTGTGTACTGGGCGCATGTGATGATATGTGTGGCGGTCAGAGGACAGCTTTGCGAAGTCAGTTTTCTCTTTTTACTGTGAGTTCCAGAGCTCAAACTCAGATTGTCAGACATGTGCAGCAAGCACTTTTACCCACTAAGCCATTTTGCGAGCCCCAAAACTACATTTTTTTGAGACAGGGTCTCTCTGTAGCCCCAGCTGGCCTGACACTCACTATGTAGACCAGGCTGGCCTTGAAGTCACAGAGATTTTCCTGCCTCTGCCTCCTGAGTGGGAATGCTGGGTTTAAAGGCGCGCACCACCACTCCCAGCCCAAAACTACATTTTTGTAATAAGCTATGCAATAGCAAATTTAATGAAGCTATCACATAGAAATTAAAGCAATGATACCAAAATATAATTAAAAGATAGCTTTGGTTCAACATAACATGATGGATGCAGATTTCTCTATAAATACATCTTACATCTTGAAGCAAAAATCAGACTTTGTTAGGAAGAATAAACAATTCTACTTGACAGTCATTACATTCTTTATCAAAAGTATGGCTGAATTTGAGTTGTAAATCTGCTTGAAGATGTCATCTTTCATGAGGTTCCCAAGTATGGGTACTCCATGTTCATTTAAAATAAAGTATTATGCTGCATTGTTGCCATCTCCCTACACTAGAAACTCATATGATTTAGATTCCCAGCCCATCTTGGTCTACACATGGACCAGAGAATATTGGGAGATGAAGCTAGATAGTTCCTTGTATTTATATTTATATGTTCATTTGTTGGTCAGTTCACTAAAGGGGAAAAATGTTGAGTCCTGAAATTGAGTGATAATTAAGTCCCTCACAATTTCCTGCCACAGCAGAATTTTAGTCTAGACAATTTCAAAGGCGGGTAGTACTAGTTCCCCCAAACAGTTATAGAAAAAGCACAGCGTTCTGCAAGCTGCCAGTTCATGCTGAGCCCTATTCATTCTGTTGGAGTTGTGGTATAATTTATTATCTATCTTAATATGTTGGCAGTTATTTGAATTTTTCAAGTCTGTCAATTAAATCAGTGTTTATCTGAGTTTCTAAGTATCTGACATGTCTTTAAAAATCCAAAAACATATTTTCATTAGTTTCTGTTTTCTTTGATTTGACAAATAGGTTGGCACAGTTAATTACATGCCACCAGAAGCCATCAGGGACATGTCTTCTTCAAGGGAAAATGGGAAAGCCAAGTCAAAGGTAAGAACCTCACTCATTTGGCACTTTTAAGTTCTAAGATACTGAAGATTCTCACAGACCTTCTTAAGCAGATTGCCTTGCGATTCAGTCTCACTGTTCTTTATTGACTTGAGATTGTCTTTAATGTTATTCTCTTATATGGTGGTTCCATACTGTGTGTCCACATAAGAAGTGGACCTATAGGGTCATTTTTAAATTTTAACATTAAAGGCAATTTAAACAAATACCTCTGATTTAGACACCTGAAAATAATACTGAGTTTATATCCTTTGGAGTCTTTTTTGTTTCCTCTCTGATTTTTTTCCATTCCATTTATTTATTCTTTTGGAGGTACTAGGGATTGAATAGGCAAGTGCTCTACCACTGAGCTGTATCCTCAGCTACATTTTACTTTTAATTTATTTATTTGTGAATTTTACATTTCCAAATACAACTGGGGTCTGTACATTTTCCTAGCCCACCATGACTACACTCTGGCTTATTTTATTTCAGTCTCAGTGAGTGCTATGTTAGCCTCCTAGATGTCCCTTATCGGGCCCATTTTGCCTGTTAGGAGCGTTGCAAGCTCCCTGGCTAATCTACTCTCACTGTCATGGTGTGACCAAGTGTTTACAAGTGCGGATACTTTTGTCCCAGGAATCTACCTTCAAGCCATAGGTTGACTTCTTGATTAGCAGTGACTTCACTCACCTAGTTTCCTCATCTGTGAGCTGACTTTGAATAATCTATTTTAAAAGAAAGCAAGGATTAACTGAGCGAGAACAGAAAGAACTTAGGTTCTTAGGACATTTAGTTCAGTGTCCAACTCACTGCTCCATAAATTTGCTTTTCCTCCCTTGAAAACCATGATTTCTAGTTTTGTTTTTTTTTAAATAACTTGCATAGAATCTCTGTCTCTCTCTGTCTCTCTCTCTCTCTGTTGTGTGTGTGCACGTGTGCACGCATGCACACACATTCATGTTGCAAATGCAGTTGGTGCACAAGTTCGAGCGTTGGTCCTTGCCGCAGTCCTGCTGCAGTGGCCCTAAAAGCCTGAGTGGGAGGGGAGGGCGGAAGGAAAAGAAAAACAGAAGCAGCTGGGATCAAGGGGCGCTATATTGTAGGCTGATGGCCAAGCATGTAGTATATTGCAGGATTACAGTGCTTATGCCTTGTCTCAAAGATCTTGCTATAGATCTTTTACACAGAACCAAAAGTTCCCTTGAATTGCACTGTCTCGTTAATCATTTGTAATTGCAGTTTCATTAATTGTGGATTTAAATCAGTAGCACCCAAGCAGAACTAGTAAGAGAAAAACATGTATCTGAAGACTGAGTACCAGGAACTGTACTGTGCAGGTTCAGCCCTGGGCCAGTCAGAAAAGGCCATGCCATATATGGTGGCTGTTCCCCGGGGGCCAGATTTTCTTACCCAGGAGCCCTGAATAGTCAGTCAGCTCCCAACAAGTCGTCACCATCTTTCTTGTTGGAGACAGGGTTTCTCTCTTTGTATTGTTATGTGCTATGTGTACTGTGGGAGCTGGATTCTACTGTCTCTGCCTCCCATCTTGACCTAGGAGTGCTGGAATGACAGGCTACCACATCCGACTTTATGGGAATTCGAATTCAGGTCCTCATGCTTACATGGCTAGGGCTTTATCCACTGAGCCATACTTGCATACAATTTTGCCAAATATTTTATCATAAAGTTCATTAGACTCCCCAGTATTTTTATTCAGCTTAAAAAAACATCGTGGGGCTAGAGAGATAGCTCAACAGTTAAGAGCACTGGCTACTCTTGCAGAGTACACAGGTTCTGTTCCCAGCGCCCACACAGTAGCTAACGCCTGTCTATAACTCCAGTTCCAAGGAATTTGACACCCTCTTCTGGGGTCCACCAGCATCAGACACTCATCAGACTTACATACATATGGCAAAGCACTCATGCACATAAAATCAGTAATCTTTTTTAAAAAAATCTTGGTTTACAAATTCTATTTTCATTTGCTTTCCAATCTGTGTTTTTACCTTTGTTAGATTTTTCAGCCCTCACTGGCCTGGAACCTGTGGCAGTTCACCTGCTGCAGCCTCCCAGAATGTTGGGTGGGGTACATGGGATTATACGCTTGAGTCACCACATCCAGTGCCCGGCTAAATATTTTCACTTGTTTTGATGGTGTAAGGAACTGAACCTAGAGATCTTTTGTATGCTAGGCAAGTGCTTTATCACTTGAGCTGTGTCTCCTGTACATTTCTTTGGTTATTTTTCCCCATCTTAATTTCAGTAATAACTGGTTTAATTTTAGTGTTTGTTTGTAGACTAAAACTGTTAATTTAGCTGGGTGTGGTGATGCAAGCCTGTAGTTTCAGCTGTTGGGAAGATAAAGTCAGAAGATCTGGAGTTTAATGTCAATTTAGTGCCAGGCTATATGACATGACCTTGTCCTCAAAAAAAGATATAAATTTTACTGTTTTTACTTTTGCTACTATTTACAGGTTTACTGTAGTGGTTTTTTGAATGTTTACTAATTTCTAAGATTTATAATTTATATTTGAAATTTTCTTTAAGATTTCAAATTGCACTTAGAGGTCATATTTTTTCCAATTGTCCTCCCGGTGATTTACTGTCCACTGGTAAATTTCACATTAGTTGACTCACCTGTCACCTACTTTTCTCATGGCCACATTTTTATCCCAGCATGAACCCTTGCTGATGATATGCCCCAGCCCTTCTCTCTTCAGCTGTGTTTAAAGTCCCTGGCACTTTCCAGGGAATACTTGGTCACGGAGACGTCACTTCTGAGGGCTGTTAGGTTTTCATTTTTCCCTCAGCCTCTGCTTCAGGGCTTTTACTTGTAGCTTTTGGTAGTCTATTCCCCCACTTCTTTCCTGAGTTCACAGGCATACCTTTCCACTCAGTTTTCTTCTATTTTACATATGCATGCTCTGCTGGTTCAGCAGCACTGCACGTCTTAGCTGAGTTAGGAGAGGTGGAGACCTACTTTGCAGAAGCCACAGCCATTTTCCCAGACTCTGAAGGCTTACCAGTCTTCGCTTTGTTTAGAAATAGATTTAGCGTCCACGTTGAGAAAAAGACAGGGCCACCAGTCTTTCCATTCCTTTCCCTCTCTCCCTCATTTTCTCTTTTCCTCTGCTAGTAAGACAGACTCTGTGTGGTCCAGGCTAGCCTTGAACTCTTAATTCTGCAACCTCAGCCTCTCAAATGCTGGAATTACTGATGCATATCACCACATCTAGCTCAGTTTTTCCTGATATGGTTACATTTTAAAAGTTTATCTTGCAGCCAGGTGGGCGTGGTGGCACACGCCTTCAGTCGCAGCACTCAAGGTAGAGGCAGGCAGATCTTTGAGTTCAAGGCCAGCCTCGTCTATGTAGTGAGTTCCAGGACAGCTGGGGCTACAGGGAGACTTTGTCTCAAAAAAAAAAAAACGTTTAGCTTTAGGACTAAATAGATGATGGTTCAGTGCTTTAAAGTGTTTGGTGCTCTTCCAGAGGACCTAAGTTCATTTCCAGCATCCATGCTGAACTGTCTTATAACTACCTGGAACTCAATTCCAGGGGATCTGATGCCTTCTTCTGACCTCTGTAGGTGCCTGCACACGTTTGTCA